CTCTTTGTATTTAGACTTAATTAGATTCTTTACTTTCATTCATCAAGCTCTTTGTATTTATATACCTCAACTCATTACCTTGATCATTGTTGCATTATCATATTTGTCCCTTAATGATATTGTGATAACAATTTCTTATCATACTAATTATAGCATGGTCAAGGATCATCAAAAATGAATAGGAAGGATAAATTGAAATCTTCCTCATCAATGAGAAGTATCATATCGAATTCATCATCAATCACAGGTATATCAAAACGTGAGAAATATGTTCAGAATATGGAAGCACTATTAAAAAATCCCGAATTTGCGCTCAATGATGCATTACAGAAATTAAATGCTGAAGAATGGTATTCCTTTTTTTTTTTCTTCTAACATTTTCATATTTTAATCAATATTTTTAGGAATAAAAGTTTGTAAATTTATTCCTCAAATATAAAATTATTTGAGTTTTACTTATCTTTTTCAACATTTTATAAAAATTTTATCAAATAATCACTTATTATTATCAGTTTGTATTTTTTAAAAAATGTAAATTTAATTGATTTTAAAAAATAATCAACTATTACCGTCAATTTGTATATTTTAAAAAATGTAAATTTAATTAATTTTTAAAGGAATGGAAAACTTTGTGCTATCGAAATGATCGATACATTAACTAAAATATCACCAGGTGTACTTGCTGGAAATATTCATCAGGTTGTTATGAAGCTATTAAATGAATGCAAAAATTTACGTTCAACAGTTTCACGGGCAGCAATTTCAACGTTTGGGACACTATTTGAAAATTTAAAAACAATCATGGATTCGGATATTGAAAAAGTACACATTCTCTTTTCTTAATTAATATATAATTTAAAAGATTTCATTAAGATAAAAACTTAGCATCGATTATTTTTTATCATTTCAGTAATTATCAATAGATTAATGAATGGATACTAAGCCTTCTTCATGTTACTAAAATACCAAAAATATATTTCTGTAACTATTCTTCAGAAATTTTCGAGAAAAACTTTTGTCAAATTTTTCAAAAATAAATTTATTATTCCACAAATCCTTCCATCGGTATTATTAATGAAATTTTGAGCGAATTAAATAAGTATGCAATAATTCAGCGCAATATAACAGATGGTAGCTTATCTTCATAAATTCATGAAATTGAAATTTGATAAATAAACCTAAGGTTATTTTTGAATTGGTACCATAGGTGCTTAAAGAATAGATACTATTTTTGCTTATTTTTGTAATACATTTTCAAATATTTTTAATTCAGGTATGTTTGGTATTAATGCAAAAAGCCGGTGATGTAACAAATGCATTTATACGTGATGATGCGACAATTGCGCTAGAAAAAATGATCAAATATGTTTCACCTGGACGATCTTTGAACGCATTAGTTATTGCTGGAGCCAAGTAAACCTTTTGTGATAAGAAGCAGAAAAAGGAGTAATCAACAGAATTCAAAAATGGACAATGATAAGAATTGATAATGATAATAAACTGATAAATACATTAGGCTTTACAGCGATATGATACGATGAACAAATTTTTTGCATGTATAGGATACATGATATGTAATGATGCAATTAGTACTACTGTAAACAATATTTTCTATGATAATGAAATTGAAATTGATAGGTTAATCATTTTAGATAATTAAAATTACCTGAGAAATTTAAGTTCAAGAAATTTAACATACAAATATGTTTCCCATTGTTTCATTTTTTACTATTTTTTTTATCCTGCAACATATCTTTTTGCATATTTTTGGCATATATCAATTAATGAAGTTAATTAATTAAGTTACATGATATGATGTCAAAATTCTCCTTACTTCTAATGAGAGATTAATGGAAAATTATCAGAAATTTCTCTAAAACTTTATGAAACGATGTGACAATATACGGTAACTTCATGAAACGATGTAACAATATACGGTAACTTCATGAAACGATGTAACAATATATGGTAACATTCGAATAATTTCAAATGTATTTGTTAAATTTCTTTTTTTTTT